GGTAGAGGAACAGATAGGCGTGGTTTTTATTTCTAAATAAATGGTTATTTATGCTACCATATGTTATATCTTAGAAGGGAAAGGAAATGCTCATATTTGATAATGGTTTATTGTATAGGGAGAATTTAACTTGAGGGTCATAAAATTTTTGTTCTGAAATTCAATAATCAGTGCAACAATTTGACATGTAACCAATACATAGGCAGCATTGCTGACAAAGCCTACAAATAATTTTCAGAAATAAGCAAATTCAACAGTAAATGAGAATCAATACAGGGACAAATACAACCTTATGTATAGATTGTTTCTGCCACAAAGCAGTGTGTCAAGGGTTTCCTTGTTCACCTCTGGTGCTGTGGGAAGTTGCTGGAACCTTTGGGAATTATGGCTCTCCAGAAGGGAGTTAATGTTCCATGACCTTGGTTCTGGATGCTCACCACTGAAAAAGCCAGTATTCAGGAAGTGAGTTGATTGCTGATCAGAAGGTATTAGATGTAATTATGACCTGCCTTCTTGAGAAAAAGAAAAGGAAGGGTCATTGTTCTAAAGGTTCTATCTTAAATTCATGAGTGCAGTAGGCTTTTGGAGGCAGACAGAGAAGGAGATGAAAGACAATGGCCAGAAAAACAACATGTTGGGTAGCACCTTCAGCATCTACTCTCTTTTTCTAGTAGGGCTCACCCAAATGGTTTTGGTGTCCTGGAGACTAGTTTTTACAAATTTAGTTTATTTTTTTAATTTATTGATTTTTCTCAAAGTAAAACCTCTCAGACATATATGGGCTTTGTGTTAGTGAGCAAAACTAATAAACATGTTCTGATATTATCTAGAGGTCACCAGATGTGTGGTTTCTGCAAAGCTAATCAGATAAAATCTTAATTGGTATCTCTTCAGTATTCAGTGTCAGGCAAATCTGAATGTCTTGAAGGAAGAAAGGGGAAGTGAAAACTATTCCCAAAGCAGACATCATAGTTGCATCACTGGGACTATGCCCTTGAAGAGGATGTTGGAAGCCCAGCCTGTCATCTCTCTGCCTCCTGGAGCTGGTATACTTTTGACAGTGAAAGGAGAAGTCAAAACATGGCAGACATTTCACAGATTCACCTGTTGGGTTGGGAAATCACACCTCGATTGCATCTGGCTGTCCAGATTTCACAGTTCAATGAAAAAAGAACATGTCATATACTGCCCATGAGCCCACATGATATCCTTCCAGTGATTTTGCTCACTCTCATGCAGTGACTGCTTACACCAGCTTTTTCCACACCAGTTCTTCACACCAAGATAACAGGACAAAGCCCACTTATCTCTCAGACACACAATAACTCTTTAACAACAAAACCTCTTGTTTTGCTAAACATCCGGCATTTTTCACAAAAGAACCTCGTACGAATTTAAAAGTCAAAACACACATAGGATCTGAGTTCAGAATAAAGAGCTCTCACATCACTTGATGTACTAAGAGAATTATTGTCAGAGTAAGAGCAGACGACTTAAATGGGGTTGAGGTCATTTTTCCTGGGTGAATGATGGATCCATTACATTCCTGTCACCATCATCCAATCAGCCAGTGAAGCAATTTTTGTCTAGAGCAGAGAAAACACAAGTGAAAATGAGAGGACACATACACATGCACATACATACACATACAGAGAGAGAGGGGGGGGAGGGAGGGAGGGAGGGAGGGAGGGAGGGAGGGAGGGAGGGAGGGAGGGAGGGGGACAGGGACAGGGATAGGAACAGGGAGAGGAGAGAGGAAAGAAGCGCTGAAAATATAAACCAGGAAGAGCATTGTGCATTACAGGAAAATGATGCTAAGGAGAGCTGTCGTGAGTTATTAAGCAGAGATTTGAGGACACAGACCATCACCATCTTGTTTGATGGCTGAAATCGACACATCCCTTGTAGTGTGTTCACCTAGCATGTTCAAGGTCCTGAGTTCAAGTCCGGGAGCCAGGTGTAGGGTTGCATAACTTGTTGTCTGTAATCATGTCAATTTTCATGCATGCTTGAACTATGTAGAGAAAGTCTGCCTGGAAAATGCTTCTTAAACGTTGTACTGTAATGTATGCATTTCTTTATCTACTCTGTTATGATTCAGTTTATTTTTCTACAGTGACATGTGCACTGTATTACGCAAACTCTCTAAGTCACTAGATCACCTGTGTGATTCGTAACCCTTTTATTTCCTTCTGTTGTCCTTTCTATATCTGAACATCCAACCAGTATATTACATAGGAGTCTACACAGATTGTCATCATACAAGATTTAATTAATGAGAGATGGTTTTTACTTTAATCTCCGTTTAAGATGATATTGGCTATGGGTTTGCCATATATAGGTATCTTACTTCCACCCCTATTCCTTCTAACATTTATCATGGAATGATGCTGGATATTGTCAGATATCTTTTCTGTACTCATTGTAATGATTACACAACTTGTATGTGTGAGTCTGTTTTTACTCTGTATTACTTTATTTTTAAGTTTGTGAATTTTTGAACCATTCCATCTGCAAACAAACTTTCTGAGAATTTTTGTACCTGTGTTTTTCAGGGATAACTGTATAATTTTATTTTTCTGTTATATTTTTATTTAGTTGGAACTGTACAAAAACACTAATTATGTAGAAGAAATTTGGAGTTTTTCTTTCAACAAGTGAATAATTACTTTAGAAGCATTGGTTGCAGTTTTTCTTTAAAGGTCTGGTAAAAGTTCGTTGTGAATCTCTCCAAATTTGTACTTTTATACTGAAAGGATTTAAAAAATATTGCTTCAATTTTTTTCTAGTTATAGCTTTTTAAAATTATTAATCCCATCATTGTTTAACTTTGGTGGGTCGGTTACATCTAGAAATTTACAAATTTCCTTTAGGTTTACCAGCTTAGTGGAATATAGATTTTTGAAGTATGGATTTGTGACATATCTGTTGTGGTAATGTGCATCTTGAGCTTTATTAATTCCACCTTCAATACTCCTCTCTTTCCTGGGATTCTTATTTGTTTTGAGCAATGTTTGTTATAGTCACTAGAATTAACCTTGATGCCTTTTGTGATAAATATTGGGGGGGTGTTCTAGTATCTAGGAGTTTTCACTGACCTTCTAACATCAAACATTTGAGTTTGTTTTCTGAAATGTTTCTTTTCTCTGAATTTTACTCATTGCACATTATTTAAAGAGGGAGCTTTAGCTCATAATCATCGCTAATGGCGAATATTTAGACTCTGCAGATCTTTTTTGTTTTAGTTGGATGAATTTGAACTGTATATTTTCAAAAAAGAATTGGTGAATAACTTGATTGGGTGGCACATTTTATTAAGTATAACTTTTTGGGACTGCCAAATTCTTATTTTAATTATTTTAAAAGAAAGGAAGAATTTGTTTTCCAGTAAAACCCAAACACATGAACCATGAGTTAAGGGACCAGGGGAAGCTCCTGTCTCTATGACCATCCCTCTTGGACCCCATCTTCTGTCTCTTTGTCTTGTATTTCTGAGCCAGAAGACCTGCCTCCCACAATTCCATGCTTATCCTGTTTTTTTTTTTGTCTTATTATCAGAGAAAATAAGCTCTCTTTTGTAACATTCATTCATAAGTGGTTAAAGACATTATATTAGGGAAGACAAATCAGTAAATAGTCACATGATAGTCTATGACTTTTGTTGACAATACCATTTTCTTTGAATAACATTACTAACTACGGCATGGGAACCTTTCCTTTTCATTTTCCCATCATGCTTAGCTGATGAAACAACTTGCCTAAAGTTAAAAGGATCATTAGGATGTTGCACAGATGTCAAAAGTGTGCTATAATGCTTATTTTAATTCTCATTGCTGTAGCTGAGTGCATCCCAGAAAGATGTAGGCAACTATTTAGGTTTAGAATACCAACAGTAATGCAAAATTACTTCTTACGCATTCAGAAAGAGAATGAACCACACATCTGAGTTCTGGGGTACTCAATAACTCCCCAAAAAATTTAAATGATAATATTGATTCTATACACTTACAATTTCTAAGTAAAACTACCCTATATGGAGTCCCATATTCATGGAATCTTACAGTCATGGATTTAAATATGTAAAAATGCTTTGCTGTTAAATATGCATAAATTCTTTTCTTGTGTAAATTTCTTAAAGTATACTATTATTATTTCATTGGGTATTATGGACAGCCTAGATGTGATTTAAAGTTATTGGGAAGAAGTATATGTGTCATTTGAAAACACAACATCATTTTATTTAAGAAATACCATCATGTATGTATTTTGATTCCTATGGGTTTCCTGAATTCCACCTTCCACAGATACTGAGGGACAGCTGCATAGATTTCTCTGGTCCAAGACAAACTATGCCTCCCAAAAATTCTTCATTAGTCAGTTTTCACCATTCTGTCAATTTTGTCTGTGTCTCTCTATCTCTGTCTCACAGCATGGCAAATTTATTTTTCTCATAGATTTAAAGATAACACATAATAATTCATACTGCCCTATATTCCATGTTTTACCTTGTCATGTCAATATGCAATGGTGTTACTTTCAAAATTTAATGTATTTTTTTTTAGATTTCACTATCTAGTTAATTGCTTCTTAGGGAAACTCTAACTCAATGTTGTGTAGAACATGCAAGCTACAAGCCAAGTCTTATTGTAAGCATAATATCTCATTGAAAATATGAGTTGGCTCACTCTTCTGTGGGCATATTTTCAATGATACTGCTGAACATTCCAGTAGGCTTTTAACCATCAGCTTAGAGTCAGTAGAATGCCCATAGGTATATCTCTATGTAACATCCTTGATACAATGTCTTAAATAAATGGATTTCCTAGGGAAGGTAGTCTGAAAGCACCTAGTCTCAAAGATACATCACAAATCAAAACTTGAGAGTCAACAAAGAATGAGGAGAACGTATTCGATGCAAGAAAAAATGATTTTATTAGGTCAAATATAACTTGTACTCCCATACACAGTTCAAGAAATTATGAATAGGTAATCAGAAGACATTTGAATTTGTATTTGGTTAGTCATTCATTTCTTAGTTGAATAGACCTAGTGTTGCCAGAGAAAGGATGCAGAGAGAGATTAGTTAGTCTTACTGGAAAAGCATTGTGCTAACTCAGACAATTCACTTATAATGAAGAAGTTCAGCAACTTGATCTCTGGATGGCTGATCCACAGGTTGGCCTGTGACAAGAAGAATGGAAGTTTCTAGATGTCACATAGGTTGGGTGGCAGAATCCAGATCCATAACCAAAGGAAGGGTAGCCGCGGACTCCATAACTCACAGGTCTGAAGCCACTGAGGCCACAGCCTGAGGTGTAGAAGCTTCTTGACCCGTAGCCAAGAGAGTGACAGCTGCTGGACCCAAAGTGCTGAGAGCCAGAATATGTGGTCCTACAGGGGCTGCAGAGGCTGGAAACCCTGGAGCTGTAGCAGGGCCGCTGGCAGGAGCTGTGCACTACATGGGAAGTCTGGCATCTGATGGGCCGGAAGCAGCTCTGACGACAGCCGCTGTGGAGAGAGGAGCCCAGATGGTAGGTTCTGGGAGAGCAGAAGTTAGTGCTGTAAATCAGGTGGCAGGGGTAGGAAGAGCCACAGGAGGAGTAGGGATAGTGCAGTTGACCCCCATAGGATCTAGAGGAGAACCTTCCAGAACAGCAGCTGTGGGACATACTGAGAGGAGATGTGAGATGAGCTAGATGTCAATGAGACAATGCTGTGGGTTTGAATGTCACGGCTTGAAGCTCAAGTTATATATCCTCTTACTTTGGGTGTGTCCACATTCCATTGGCTGCATTCACCTCCCTCACCCTTCCCACGAAAAATGTTTCCCTGGATCACTAAGTCTAATTTATCATACATTCATATATTAATTGTAGTTTAATGACTTGTGGCACACAGTAAGAAGACACTCACAGTTTCTTCGCCCTGGAATTTGCTGTGGTTTGAGGTTCAGTGTTACAGTTTATCACATTTCCATGTATCCTCTCATTACCCATGAATTTATGGAGACTCTGTCCCGGTAGAAGGATTACATAAACTCTATCTTCATTTCATTAAGACACTAAAATTACTCAATGGCTACTTCTCAAAATCATTTGTCCCTTTTATTTACCACAGCACACTGTAATGGAATTCTTCATATACTGTATTTTGTTTCTTCAGTTTGTTTTCATGAGCTATCGATAAGGCCTCCTCTGCCATGTATTACTGATGATTGAGAACCCCAGCTGTGGGATTTCCATCAATGGTTTTCCTCAGTCAGAGCTTTCTCATACCATGGCCACTGAAGAAACAATAAATACCACACTTTGAGATGGACTTACAGAGAAATATCTTCATAGCTTTTGCTGAGACTGTTTTGTAGTTTACAACCTTAATCATGTGTGTCTGTGCAAATTTCTTTTATTATTTTGGTAGAAGGGAACATTCTTGAATGCAATTTTAGGGATTGCTATTTCTTTTATAAAATTACTAACTTCAGTTCTTAGAGTCAAGTAGATATTCAAGCAAAGTTTGACTAACCATGTTTTTGAATAGCTTAAACTGCTCTTGCCTGGAATCTCAGCATGGCAGAACACTTAATCCTTAACTGTGACTTCCTCAAGCAGAGATAGTCTTCAAGCTCTGCAAGTTCAACTTTAAGTTGTCATAAAAAGTAAACTATTAAGCTTGATTATACTAATATATAAAAGTCTTATTTATCTTTCCTGGTAATATTTGCATTAAATAGGTGTCCAGCAGGGGAATTCTAATGTCTCAGTTATTTTTACACATTTCAAGAACAGTTTATTTTCTAGCTACAGAAAGAACATGACTGGAAAATTCATAATCAGATTAATGGGGACACAGGCTTCTTGTTTGCTTTGAGCCCATTCATCTTCTTCTGAGGCTTACACTTTATGGGACTTAGCTAAGGGAGGTGACATTCCCAACTGTCATTGTATAAAGGCCCCTTAAATGCCTGGGAATTAACTTGCTTTATGCCAAGCACACACATCTTCAGAACACTTACTTACTTTGTTTTATGATTCTCTCTCCCATGCAGAATCCATAGGGTGGCATGCATCCCACAAAGTGACCTTGTACGATGCCTAGGACACCACACTGACTCACTTAAGCAAAATACGCTGTGCTTTATGAATGGACACCTATTGAATTTCCCAAACCAGTGAGTATCATTCTCAGCATGTGACCCTTCTAATGCCAGGTGTGAATGCCTTTAGATCTAGAAGTACCTTTCTAGTATTAGTAGAAGCTATGAGAAGGAGGGAGAGAGAGAGAGAGAGAGAGAGAGAGAGAGAGAGAGAGAGAGAGAGTTCTTAATATCTTAAAGTTCCTGCTTTCCAAGACAGCTACCAATATTGGAAAATAAACATTGAGATTACTTGGATATAAATCAATTCTAATTAATGCTGCCTACACTCATTTGTAGTTAAATTATTATTTTTCATTAGAGTTATATGTACACTTGGTAGAAGTGCTAATAACCAACTCATAAATGCTAATAAATATGTCCTTCTGAATGGAAGAAAGGGCAGGACTAAGTAACGTTGTTTTAATAATGCCAATGCAGATCCTGGAAACACTAAGGCACTCTACACTTTTTCTATAGGCAGGCAAGATATTTAAGGAAAAAAACAGTACCTCTCTAGATAGGCTACATCTGGGCATTAATTTTGGACTTAATGGTCTATCTATCATCTATCTATCTTCTATCTATCCCTCTACCCCTCTATCCATCTATCCATCTATCTGTCCATCCATCCATCCATCTATCTATCTATCTATCTATCTATCTATCTATCTATCTATCATCTGTCTATATTTCTCTCTGTGTCTCTCTATCCATCTATCTAACTATGGACAAAATGTTGAAAGGGGGAATGGGGAAGGGAGATCTGGGGGAGTGGAGAGGTAGTGGAATATATGTCAAAATATATTGTATACAATATGGAATGCTCAAAGAGTAAAGAACAATATTAAAATGCCTCCTGTTTCTCTCTCTCCCTCCCTTCTTACCCCTTTTTCCTCGCTCCCCTCTCACTTTTTGAGAAATACCAATACACTACATTAAAACAAACACCAACACCCTTGATGGTGCCACTAGTCGAAAGTTGCTTGTCATTTGAACTACTTGCAAAATTGTTGTTTTCCAGATCACTACACAAGCCACTTAGTCTTCAATCCAACAATGCCTTATTGTGCTATTATTTAGAAATTAAAGAAAAAATTTCAAATTAGACAAAATTCTGCAATAACAGAACGAATAGAATATCTGTGCTCAAATCCTGTGTATTTTCCTCATATTTCCTTGTGTTTCCTTGAAACCGACCTCTCAAGGCCTAGAAAAGCATCTTGCTGCCAAAACTTGGGAGATTATTTCTCATAACAAATCTGGTTTCCTGCTGTACTTTCTGTGTATGCTCACCCCCTGGGCTCTATGATATCACTGTTGGTCAACACATAAACTGCAGGGGCTGAGCATGGAGAAAGCACAGTTGACATAGACCACAGGCAGCAGTCTTGACGAAGAGTCACAGGCCCTGCTCTTGTGCTCCCTCTCGGGTCCCTTTGGGCTTTCTCTGAGGTCCTCTCAAATTCTCCTTGGCACCCACAGTTCCTCCTAGCAGTAGCTGTTTTTGCTCCAGGCAGATCCCATGTATGTCCCGAGTCACACTTCACTCATAATGGGTTTGATGTGCAAATGGAACCAGTTTCCGAGCTGTTCTTTTTGTACATCTGCTTCTGAGAGTCTACACTTACATCATGCGAGGTCCTTGAAGAAACTTGGGAGGGGCTACATAAAATCCCATGGAGTAACACAGCAAAGTCTAGAAATGATTTCCTCAGAACTTCAGCATTTGACCTCAATTGCAACATGTCTTCTCTCTCCTCTAAACAAAACAAGTTAGATGTCAGAGAAAGTAGTCCTATGTGGGACAGATTTAGTCTGATCTTTCCTTATTTTTCCAAAAACATAATAATAGTAGTACATTTGATTTTAAACGAAATTCAAGGAAATTAATATACAAACATATATAAATTCATATAGTTGGTATTGATATTGTTTCTTTCTTTATAATAATGTTGCCATGTTTAGCTTGCATATGTAACTTTCATTTCATATTGAAATTGTGATAAGATTGCTTAAAATATGTACATATTTCACATTTATTTGTCATCATTACACTGGCATATTTAAGAATCAGCCATAACCACTTAACACATTATTAGTCATAGAACACTTAATTTCCATGACTAATCCTACATGATGCATGCCGTTTTATGGTTATTTTATACTTGAAGAAGCCAAGACATAAACAGGTTGAGCAAATTTCCCACAGTCACCTAAGTAGCTAGTAGAAGGGGTAGAGTTTGAACCCAGTGACTAAATGTAGACTGCTTGTGCAAAGAACTGCTTTGACGCACTACAGGCTCTGGCTTCTCCCAGTTTCTACTACATAGAGTTCTCCCAAATGAGACAGCATGCTTTACGTTAATCGCCCTACTGTTTTTGGCTCTCACATAGTTACAGACTATGCTTGTGCATGGGTGCCTGAATCTTCTGTTTGGGGTATATACACACCTCAGGGTGAGATTACTGGGTATTTGTGACTTTAAATATTTTGTTGTTGCTGCCAGAAAGGTGTTGGCCATGGACTTAGGCTGACTTATTTGAACTCTGATCCTATCACACCAAGACTTTGTTCTTTTAGTTTTATGCATTTTCCCATAAACTCACTCCTTTCTTATACCCATCTCTTAGAAGATTTATTTATTTTTCTTTTGTGCATGTATGTGTGTGTACCCTGCGTATGCCTGATACTCTTGGAGGCCAGGAAAGGGTGTCAGACAACCTGAAGCTGGAGTGACAGACTTTTGTAAGTGACAATTTGAGTTCTGGGAACAGACTCCAGGTCTTCTGCAAGGACAGTTTCTGTGCCTTCTTTGTTTTATGACTTTGTCTGTCATATGTGTGTTTTTCTAGTCACTTGTTTAACTCTTAATTTCAGTTTTCTTAAGACATAATTCCCATGAAGTGAAAAATCACCATTGACTGAGTGTATGTGTGTGTATATGTGAATGTGTGTGAGTGTGTATGTATGTTTGTGTATGTTCCTATAGTGCAATTGATGTTTGGTTTATTTCAAGTTGGCATGTAATAGCATACTACTATAGATTTGATTTGCTACTACTATCGATTTGATTTGCATTTGTGTGAAGAGTAATAATGCTGTGTATTTTTCCTGTGGTATTTCTCTTCTGTATCTTTCATTTTTCTGTGGCCACCTCTTTTCTATTCAGATTTTGTACTTGCCCTTGAAGTCTACCAATTCTTACACAATCAAGGTTCAAATCATCGACTATGGATTTTTTTCAAGACATTCTTCCAACTGGCTCCTCATATCACTATTTTCTTTTTCTTCTGTACCTGGTTCTGTGTTACACAGGATATGCTTTATACAATTGTCTAAGCTGAACAAATTTTTCTCATGCACCCAATTTCCATTCTCTTCCACTCCTATTGTGCCCAGATCTGAATCCCTAAGAGACCCGCTCCCATGTAAAAGGAAAGAGTCTTTTGTTGTTGTATAATGAGCCTACTCCATTAGCTTGGGCCCTTCATTCATTTATTATGGTGGATAGTTAGAGAAGGACCCCAAGAAATCGCAAGGCTGGG